CCAGCATCAATACCCTCATCATCAGCATCAGCATCATCATCAACATCATCATCAGCAGCAGCATCAGCATCATCGTGACGGTCAGCAGCCTGGCCAGCATGATCAGCATCAACAGCATTACCAGCATCATCATCATCATCATCATCATCATCATCAACATCATCAGCATAGTCATCAACGTCATCGGTATCACAGGCCAAATCAGCATCCGCATCATCTTCATCAGCAAAATCGTCAGCAGCAGCACCATCAGCATAGTCATCAGCATGATCATCAGCACCAGCATCAGTACCAAAATCATCAGTACCACCATCACCACCATCATCAGCAGCACATCATCCTCAGCATTATCAGCATTGGTACCAGCATCGTCATAATCAGAATCATCACCAGCATCATCAGCAACACAATCGCCAATCATCGTCAGCACCAACATAAGTAGCATCTTCAGCAGCAAAATCATCATCGCCATGGCCAGCATCATCATCACCGGCATCACCATCGTCACCATCGTTACCATCACTAGCATCATCTTCGTCGCCACTATCATCAGCATCATCATCACCATCATCAGCGTCAACACCATCACCAGCATCATCAGCACAATCAGCATCGTCATCATCATGATCATCATCAGCATCACCATCATAGGTATAATGCGCCCCCTCCTCCTAACCCTGATCATCATCCTCCTTCTCCTCATCCTCCTGCTCCCCCTCCTCCTCCATCACCTCCTACACCTCCTGTTCCTCCTCTTCCGCCTCATCATCAGCATCATCATCAGCATCATCAGCTTTGTCGCCATCATCATCATCAGCAGCAGCATCATCATCATCATCGTCGCCGTCATCATCGTGATCCTCAGCATCATCATCATCATCAGCATCATCATCATCAGCAGCAGCACGATGATGATCGTCAGCATCATCAACATCATGATCATCGTCATCCTCCTCATCGTCTGCCTCATCATCATCGTCACCGGAATCAGAAGCATCGTCAGCAGCATCATCGGCGTCATCATCATCATCAGCATCATCATCACCATCATCATCATCATCATCATCATCGTCAGCATCATCATCGACCCCCATCACAATCAAAATAAGCACCATCATCATCATCAGCAGCATCATCGTCGTCGCCAACATCATCATCATCATCATCATCAGCAGCAGCAGCAGCAGTCGCAGCATCATTATCATCAGCATCATCAGCATCAGCATCAGCATCATCATCATCGTCATCAGCACCATCAGCATCATCATAGTCAGCATCATTAGCATCATCATGTTCACGATCGTCATCAGCAGCATCAGCAGCATCACCAGCGTCATCATCGTCATCAGTATCATCAGCAGCATCAGCATCAGCATCAGCATCGTCATCATGATTCACCTCGTCATTAGAATTTGACTCCTACTCCTAATCATCATCAACATCATCATCTTTCTAATCCAACTCCCCAGCAGCAGAAACATCATCATAATCAGCATCATCATCAGCGGCAGCATCATCATCACCATCATCATTGTCGTCATCATCATCGGCAGCGGCGACAGCATCATCATCATCAGCATCATCATCATCATCGTCATCCTCAACAGCATCAACATCAACATCATCATCAGCATCACCAGCGTCATCATCAGCAGCATGATCATCACCATCATCATCGTCATCATCACCAGCATTGTCATCGAAAGTATCATCGTCAGCATCATCATCCAAATCATCATCACTGTAACCATCATCATCATCATCAGCAGCATCATCATCATAATTCGCCTTGTCATCCTGATGTCCCTCCTCCTGCTGATCCCCCTCCTCCGCCGCCTCCTCCCCTCCTCTTCATCTTGCACCTCATCATCATTGTGATGATGGTCATCATCATCAGCTCGATCAGTCTCAGCAGCAGCAGCAGCATCCATCATCATCAACATCAGCATCATCATCATCAGCAGCATAATAAACAGTATCATTATCGGCAGCACCATCATCCTCGCCATCGCCATCGTCTTGTCAATATGAATATCCACCTCCACCTCCACCTTCGTCAAAATCATCACCATCGTGTCCGGCAGTATGATCAGCAGCAGCATCATCGGCATCAACAGCAACATAATAATCATCAACGTAGTCAACATCATAATCACCAGCATCATCATCATCATCAGCAGCATCATCAGAATCGTGGTTGTCGTCATTATCACCGTCATCACCATTAGCAGCAGCATCATCACCATCATCACCACCATCACCACTACCATCATCATGACCATCATCATCATCATCATCATCATCATCATCATCAGCATCATCATCATCATCATCATCATCATCAGTATCATCATCATCATCATCATCATCATCATCATCATCATCATCATCATCATCATCATCGTCATCATCATCATCAGCATCAGCATCAGCATCAGCATGAACATCACGATCGTCATTATCACCACCACCATCATCATCCCACGTCTCCCTCCGCCCCGCCTCCTTCTCATCCTCAGGGCGCGGGGGGTGGGCGGCCTCAGCACCCCGACCAGACGCGCTCGAAACATTTGCAAGGCTTACCCTGGGAGGGGCCCGCCGCCTTGGCGGGGAGGATGCCGACTACCTCACAAACACCAGTCCTGGCCGGGAAGAGAGGGGCCCAACGCCAATCCATGATGAAAAAGCGAGGACCTCCAACCTGTGTGGATATCGCTTCTTCGAACACCGCATCTCGGACGGGCGTGGCTGCCGCTGCTGCTGCTGCCGTCGTCGTCGCCTCCACCGTCGTTTTCGGTGTCGTCCGAGAATTCGAGGCTCCACGATCTAGTATCGAAGTGTGTGGGCGCTCTTGGCACTTTCTGGGCCTCCTGGGACCCCCTCGTCGCCGATCCATGACTGTGCAGATGTCTCTTCTTCGAGCTCTGCTTCTCCCTAACCTGCAAATGTCGGTCTGACGCCCTTTTCCTCCTCCTTTTTCCGCCTCCTCCTCCTCTTCCGCCGCCTCCTCCTCCTCCTGCTCCTGGTCATCCTGCTCCTTCTCCTGCTCCCCCTCCTCCTCCCGCCTCCGTCTTTTCCCCGTCCCTCATCCTTCTCCCGCTTCCTCCACCTCGCCCCCCTCTGTATAAAGCAACGCACGGAAGTTTCTGGTCATCCCCAATGCGCCAAACAGCATAGCGCGCAAAACGGACGTGCTGCACCCCCTTCGAATGGCGCCATTGTGCGCCGTTGGAGACGCTGTTGGGCGCTCTCGAGCGCTATTCGGCGGGGTGCGCGCGGTCTTCGGCGCTCCGCGCCGATATATCTATATATATATATATATATATATATGCTGTTCAACGCATGACGAGCGGAAGCTTCCGTGACTTCTGTTCCAATCCTCCTCCTCCTTGTCCTCCTCCTCCTCCTCCTCCTCCTCATCCTCCTCCTCCTCCTCCTCCCTCCTCCTCTCATCCTCCTCCTCTCCTCCTCCTCCCTCCTTCCCTCCTCCCTCCTTCTCCTCCTCCCTCCTCCCTCCTCCTCCTCCCCTCCTCCCTCCTCCTCTCCTCCTCCTCCTTCCTCCTCCTCCTCCTCCTCCTCCTCCTCCTTCCTCCTCTTCCTCCTCTCTCCTCCTCCTCACTCCTCCTCCTCCTCCCTCCTCCTCCCCTCGAGATAGATAGATATGGACCCTCCCGCTGCCTCCCCTGCCCCTGCACGGCCCCCGCCCCGATGGTACCCCGGCCATGCCCGCCCACGGCACCGCTCCTCCTGGCACGACTCCCACGGCCGGCCCCCCCCGGCACACGGGGCGGCACTCGCGAGAGCGAGGCGCAAAGTCGCCCTCGCCCTCCTCCCACTCTTTCTCGTCGTCCTCCTCCTCCTCCTCCTCGGCATTCTCGCCCTCGTCCGCCACCTCCTCGCCCCCACCCTCTTGCTCCTCCTCCTCCTCCACAATTTCTCAATATGAGAATACTACTCTCCTCCTTCCCCTGATGACGGGTTGGGAGTGTTCGCCCCCCCCCCCCCCCCCCGCGTACCGTTTTTTACACACAGGATTCCCCGGAGTTGGGTTTTCGCCTGCATTTGTTTTCAAAATGCTGCTCTCGCTGAGGCGCCGGCCTCATTTCGGGCCCCGCTCGTTCCGAATCGCGCTCCCGCTGCACCGCTGGCCTCATTTCCGTGCTTCCGCTGGTTCCGAATCGTGCTCCCGCTGCAGCGCTGGCCTCATTTCCGCGCTTCCGCTCGTTCCGAATCGTGCTCCCGCTGCAGCGCTGGCGTCATTTCCCGTACTATGCCACGACATGCAATGCAATGCTAGGTTGCGTTCCGCTGCGCGATGCCATGCCTTCAGTGGAAGCTGTGATATGCAGTGCTTAAGTGCCACGTCGTGCTATGCCATGCTACGCTTTGATCTTCAACGCCATGCTATGCAATGTTATGTTCGGGGCCGCTGTGCGATGCCATGCTTTGCGTTGCAAAATTGTGTGATGCAATTCTTCACTACGCCACGCCACGCCATGCTGTGACATACTACACTTTGCGGTGCTCTTCTACGCCATGCCATGCCGTGCTCTACAATGCATCGCGTACCCTTTCGGGATCATTGCCCTGCTCGACATCCGACTGTGCGAGTAGAGAGGGGATCTACGCCATGGTAAGGGATGGGAGGGAGGGGTAGGATGTCAGATATGACGCGAGCGCACCTAGCTTGTCCTCCTCCCCCTCTGCTTCCCCCGCCGCGTCCGCTTACTCCCTCCCTGGGACGAGAAAGGAGAAGGAGGATAAGAAAAATGATGAAATGGATACCAAGAAGCAAGAAAGAAGGAGGAGGATATGAGTGGAAAAACAAAAAGGCCGGCACGAGGAAAGCGTGGACGCGAAGTGGAGGAGAAGGAGGAAAATTGAGTCAGAAGAAAGAGCAGCATATACATGAACTATACGAAGTCCGCGCGGGTGTCTTGGATCGGCTCAGACCCCCCTTGCCTGGAGCGCGAAGCGCGCCAGGAAGGTCCAGAGAAATCTGCGTGGATCTCCCCTCAGAATCGGTGAGACGTAAGGTTCGGGGAACTCGGGCTGGCCTGACGGGCCGTCAGGAAAAAGGCGAGACCCAGTCTGACATCTGGAGGTGTGACACGAGCCAACGATGCAAACATCCCGAGAAAACTGGACGGCCAAAACGCAAGACGGACCCGTCCAAAACGTCGTCGATCCCGAGCTCTGGCGCACTCGAAGTCGTGTACGTCGCCCCGACAGGAGGGCGCCAAGGATACACTTGCGCCGATCCTGGGCCCGGGATCGGTGCATGCGCCCTCCTGCCTTGGCCGGGCAGGCATGTGCTCCGAGGCTGGGCCCAGTCTCGGCCAGGTGAGGATCGGTGACGGCTGACGCCCACCGATCTCCTCCCCGCCGCGGGGGGGGAGGGCGGCGAGAAGAGGGTGGCGTCCGATGAGGTGGAACGCTCGGGTGGGAACGGCTTAGGGGAGCAAGCATCGACCTGTGATCGGCGATGCATCGCCGATGGGTCGGCCAACTGGCCCCCGATAGCGAATCCTCACGCTCCAGGACGGGGAAGACCATCACATCACGCCCCTGTCGGCGGTAAGCGGGCGATTGGGGGTCGTTGCGTTCCGACCTACGGCTGCTCCCTGGTGGTTCTCGGGTCAAAACTAGGAACTGCAGCGCAGCCCTGCCACGGCCTCGGCGAGGCGCAGCCGCTGGAGAGCGTCGCGAGGCCACAAGGCCGCCGAGAACCGACGAGAATGCCCTAACAAAAACCCGAACCTGGAGCCTCGCAACGACGCCCCCGCCTGAGCCGATCGACCCCTCATGTTGCCCGTGGGAATCCCCGGGGGCGGGCACTGCTTTTGGGACGGGCGGGGCGCTGCCGAGGCCTCCGGGGGGGCCGGGCCGCGGAGGAGCCCCGCGCGGGCGCGAGGCGACTCAGGCGATCTGCAGCCCGAGCTTCTTGGCCTGTGGGGCGGCCGGGAAAGCGAGCCCCCCTCCCTGCCTGGCCCCCATCCCTCTCTCGCTCTCTCTGTCTGTCTCTGTCTCTGTCTGTCTCTGTCTGTTTCTGTCTCTGTCTGTCTCCGCCTGTCCCCCTCTTTTTGTTGTTTCTCTCTCTCTCTCTCTCTTCTGTTGTCCCTACCTATCTCTCACTCTCTCTCTCTGTCTCTCTCTCTCTCTCTTTCGCTGACTCTCTCTCTCTCTCTCTCGCCGTGCACATACTTCTCAATGTATACACGGATCCTCCTCCCGAATCATCCATGCATCCATCATCACAACCAGGCGTGCATCCATGCATGTCCTTCCTACCCACACTCATCGTCATCACCATCCTCCTCGTCATTCGAATCATCAGCTTCAAAACCATCATCCTAATCAGCATCAGCATCATCATCCTCGTCATTGGCATCGACATCGCCATCATAAGTATCGAAGTCGTCGTCAGCACCACCATCATCGTGGCAGATAACTCAACACATAACACATCACCGACGATCAAAATAATCGCCACCATCAACATCATCAGTATCTTCATCACCATCATGATCATGATCATCATCGTCATCATAATCGTCACCCTCATCACCATCACCATCACCATCACCGTCATCATCACTATCGCCTTCCTCTCTCTTTCTCATCATTACCACCACAATCACCACCACCACCAACGATGGCATCATCCTCATTAAATTCCCTCACCATGGGCACCAGCACCATTATCAAGACCATCACCATCACCACTACCAATAAATCACAATCACACCCCCAGACTCGCCGGTAGTGCGGACGGGCGTTTTGCTTGAGATTTGATTCATGTGTAATATTTGAGAGCTTGAAATTCACGAATGGAATGTGCCTCTCCTTGCACTGTCGCGCAGACTCGTCTTAAACGTTTGCAACAGTTATAAGAACGAAAGGCGTCTTCAACTTTCCTTTTCTAAACAGGGCTCTCTCCTTACTGCCCAAGACATTCACTCGTCCTAACCGTTTTGCAACAGCTGGCAGGATGAAGGACGGGCTGCTTTCAAAATGGGACGATTGCCTTACCGGAACGAGCAATCATGTCTACAGTTCGCTACAGCTAGCAGAATAAAATGGGGTCATTTTTGAAACCAGTGCGCTGCGCACACCCGTCGCCACTGCCGCTGGCGTCGTTGTCGTCGTCGCCAGCGTTGTCGCCGCCGCCGCCGTCGTCGTCGTCGTCGTCGTCGGCGTTGTCGCCGCCGTCGTCGCTGTCGTCGTCGGCGCAGTCCTCGTCGTCGTCGTCAGCGGTTGCGGCGTCGTCGTGGGCGTGCTGAACGTCGGCGTCGCCGTAGACGGCGTCGACTTGGCCGTCGTCGTCGTCCTCCTCCTCCATTTCACGCCCCTCCAGCGCCCCAGCCTGCTCCATCTGGATGGCCTTTTCGCGGCGCTGCATGACGTGCTGCGACTTGATGCCCATGATGCCTCGTTCTGGGCCCACTTCCTCCTCCTCCTTATCCTCTTCTTCCTCCTACTCATCCTCCGCCACCTCCTCCGCCTCTTCCCCTTGCCCCTCTTCCTGTTACATCTCATCCGTTTCCTCGCCGTCCTCCTCCTTCTCCTCGTTCTCCTCCTCGTCATCTGTATCCTCCTCCTCATCCTTTTCAGCGGAGCAATACTGGCACGGCAGCGACCGCCTTACACCCGCCCTACCCCATAGTGCAGCAGGTCAACCGAGGCAGTAGGGTGTCCGTGGTAGGGCCCAACAGGGTAACCCAACCTGGCTGGCCCAACCCCCTCTTCGTGCCCGGCTGGCCCTACCCTCTCTTCCTGCCACTGCGGGCCCACCCCCAGACAACCACTGACTGTCTGTCCCTTCCCACCTCGTTCCCCCGCCCCCCTGTCCAACCCCAAGCGGGGCCGCATCATTACTTCCCTCCTCCCCCTCTAATTGTACGCGATACCCTTTTCCCAAACGCGCTTCCCCTCCGCGTTCCCGCGCCCCCATCCGCTTCCTCCTTTGCGCTGCCCCAATCCCCCTTTCCCTTCCCACCTCGCTCGCCCGCTCCTCCGCCCAACCCCCAGCAGGCCCGCTCCACAGCATCTGCTTCTCCCCTCTCGTTGGCACGCACTGCTACCAGCGTTAACCCCGAAAAACATGGAGAAGCACTGTGGGGGGTGCCAGCTGGCCAGCCCGTGTCTGCCAGCCCGCTTCACCCAGGCCAACATATAATACCACAGCAGCAGCACCATCGTCATCAGAATCAGCATCACCATCATCATCATCATCATCATCATCAGCATCATCATCATCATCATCATCATCATCATCATCATCATCATCAGCATCATCCTCATTATCATCAGCATCATCATCATCATCAGCATCATCATCATCAGCATCAGCATCATCATCAGCTTCATCAACAGCATCAGCATCAGCATCTTCATCAGCATCAGCATCATCATCAGCATCAGCATCACCATTATCATCATCAGCATGCTCGTCCTCATCATCATCCTCATCCTCATCCTCAGCCTCACCGTCATCATCACCATCATTGTGTAATCATCATCAGCATGATCATCGTCATCAACATCATCATCAGCAGCATCACCATCATCGTAATCATAACCATCATCATCATCATCATCACCATAATCAGCATCATCAGCATCATCATCATCGTCACCATCATCATCAGCAGGAGCATTATCATCGACATCAGCAGCATAATCATCATCCTTATCATCAGCAGCTTCATCGTCGTCCGCAGCATCACCATCAGCATCAGCATCAGCATCAGCAGAATCACCATCGCCATCATCATCACCAGCACCATCGCCAGCACCATCAACATCACCAGCATGACAACCACCAGCATCATCATCATCAGCATCATCAGCATCATCAACATCATCATCAGCAGCAGCATCAACAACATCATCATTACCATCCGCATCATTCCCATTACCACCAGCATGAAGATGATGGTGATGATGATGATCACCATCATCATCGGCATCTTCATCGACATCATCATCATCATCACCATCGTCGTCGTAGTCACTATCAGCATCATCATAACCAGCTTCATCATCACCAGCAGCGGCGCCATCACCACCACCATCATCACCATCATCACAACCAACAGCAGCACCACCATCACCATCACCATCATCATCACCACCACCACCATCATCATTCCCTCCCACGTTGCCACCGCGGAGGCGTACGCGACCGCTCGCTGGCGCGCCTCCGCCCCACCGCCGGCGGACCTCGGTGTTGTCGTTGAACTGACCTCGGGGCGGCCCGCGGGCGGCCCGTTGCGGCCTTGCGCCTTCGGCGGTCGCCGATGGCCATCGGCAGCTCTCGACGAGCGTCGGCGGCCCTCGGCAGCTGCGCGTTCGGCGGCCATCGGCGGCCTCAGGCGGCCTCGGGCAGCTTCGGCCGCCAGCAGCGCCGGAAGCGCGCGGAGGTCGTGGACGTCGTCGACTGCGTCGTCATCGTCGTTCCGTGTATCCCCCACCCCCCGTCCTCCCTAAACCCCATCGCCCCACTCCTTGGAGGAGGAGGAGGAGGAGGAGGCGGAGGAGGAGGAGGAAGGGGGAGGAGGAACGGGGAGGAGGAACGGGGAGGAGGAACGGGGAGGAGGAGGAGGAGGAGGAGGCGGAGCAGGAGGAGGAGGAGGACGAAGAGAAGGAGGAGGCGAATGAGGAAAAGGAGAAGGGAGGAGATAGGAGGAAAGAGGAAGAGGAAAAAGGAAGCAGGAGGTAGGAGAAAAGAGGAGAAGGGAGGAAAAAGAGAGGTAGGAGGTAGAGGAAAGGAGAAAGGAGAAACGAGTAAGAGGAAGGAGAAATTTGGAGAGGAGGCACTAGGGAGGAGAATGGAGGGAGGGAACAGGAGAGAGGGAGGGAGGAGGGAGGAGTAAGAATGAGGGGAGCAGTTTGGAGAAAGGAGGAGCAAGAGGAAGGAAAGAGGAGGGTGGGCGACCCTTGAAATTGCTGGCCAGGGTCTCGAGTTCCTTCTTGTCTTCGTTGTTCACGGACGTCA